ACTGTGTGAGAGATAGAGAGAGAATTCAAAACTTGGGCTGCGAAATCTAACACTCGGCGCGAATACAAAAATAGCTGCGATAGACAAAAATTACCGTAAATATTTTGTCGCGCTGAAAAAGGGAGGTGCATCCATCCTGCGCTGTAATTACGGTGATCAGCCATAATTGTTGAAGAAATTCTTTTCTGCCAACGGTTTTCTCCTTAGTAATGATGCGCCGGTTCACCTCGCTATCAATCTGCTGCTACTTCAGTTGCTACTGCTGTGATTCAGCTTCCTCGCTATCATTCACGCGCGTTTCGAATATCCCAGAAAATAACTTTTTATTGGCAAAACGGCGAAACATAGTGAAAATAATTTGGAGGTACTCTCTCAAGTAACAGCTGAGGCTAAACTGAAATTTTAAAACTCTCGCGCGCCCTCTCTCTCTTAGTCGTTCGCTCTAGCATCGTGAGTGTTACCGAATCGCGAACGGATCGATTAATCGAATCAACTATCGTTGCATTACATATATTTTTTTCTTCATCGATCTTACTATTTTGGTAGTGCCAGTTGGCTTTCGAATTGTAGACTCAGCTGGTATTAGAATAAATTTTTGAGGCACCGCCTCAACTTTTTTGATTGACGGTATCTTTGAAATATTTCTTTTTGTATTTTTATTCTTTTTGTATTAATTTCAATTTTTAAATTTATAAAAAACATTTTTGTATTTTAAACACTTAACCCAGCTGACAATTCAAGCATCATGTCAATTTGTATTTTCACTCTTTGAGAGCACGAGAATGTTGATGTCGACGACAATGATAGCATCAATAACGCCGGTACAATAACGTCAACATCACCGATGATGACAATAATGATGACGTACTCCAGCTGGTTGGTGTTTGATTTTACGCGAACTCGAAAGCTTTCAGTTCACCTTCTCGGAAAGTTCATCCTGCTCTACCTTAACCAAATCAGCTTTTCTTTTACATTACAATCGAGCTAACTCTTAATGTTTACTCATCGTCTCCGCACGTTTATGTTGATACAACTGTGCCTTCACGCGATTATTCACCACCTTGTCGATTTGATATACGACTTGCTGCACCAAGAATCGTGCCGCTATTGATCCACTGAAAATAAAAAGGGAAAAATATTAACATCATAATAACAATATATGAGGATAGGTCAATAAGTCCTTATAAAATTCAAAGCATCCCAACTTATATTGCACCAGTAAGCATCACTATTAATTAGAGTGCTGCCGAAGTTTCAGCTAGATTCATTAAGTTGTTCCGTTTTTATCGTCGATCAAAGTGAACAACTTTTGTTTCTTGTTAACAATGGAAAAAAATGAGTTCCAAACGGTGATAAAACATTTCTATTTAAAAGGCCTTACCAAAAGAAGTCAAAGCTGAGTTAGATGTAATTTATGGCTTGCAACTGTTTACGATTAATAAAGAAGTAAATCGTGGCCGTACATCAACTGCAGATGAACATCGTTCAGGCCGTTCTGCAGATGTAAACACTCCAAAAACGATCAATCAAATCCGCGACATAGTGTTGAGAGATCGAAGAATAAAATTGCTCGAAATAATTGAGGAACAGGTATTTCAAAAGGAACAGTCATATTGATTTTTAATGAGAAATTGGACATGAGAAAAATTTCGGCTAGATGGGTACCGCGTTTGCACTCAGTAAAGAACAGGTGCAGTCGGGTGGTGGCCGCTGAGGTCTTTTTGGCGTGCATTCACCGTAATTCGGACGACTTTCTGCGTCGATTCATAACAGACAAATGAAAATACAAAGAAGGCGAAGTCAGGAACATCGATCGGCTAGGTTATGGCCACTTTTTTTTTAGATACATGTGGAATGATCTTCGCTGACTATTTAGAAAAAGGATAATAACCGGAGAGTATTATTTGTCATTTTTGGACCAGTTAAGCCAGAAAATAAAGGGAAACATCCTCATTTGAACAAAAGAAAATTCTGTTTCATCAAGACAATGCACAAGTACACACTTACATAGATTCAATGGCTAAAATTAAGGAATCAAAGTTCGAATTAGTAAACCAACCACCGTATTCACCAGATTTGGTCCCTAGTGACTTGTAACGGTCCTATCTATGAGCTCTTCTCTTATTTTCACTGAATTACTGCAACCCGCTAAACTCATGAATCTACTTACATCAATTAGTATATTAAAAGGCACCAGCTCACATATTATATGATTGTTTTAGTGCTAGAGTCAAATTTCATGACCTATAAGGAGCGTGACGTCACTCTACTTATAGATATAGATATAATAGTTCTCGTTGTTCAATTAAAACACGTTAATTAAGAGTAATTTCAATGTAACAAAGTATTTTATATAGATTTTTGGGCATAGATTAATATTATAATATTTTCAATTGCTTTTAAGTACTAAATCATATTAAATTTTTAATGTGCAAATTTAATTTGTTTATTAAATTGTAAATATTAATTATTATAATAAAGCGGATACTCTGAATTGAAGATGACTATCTGAGAAATATGAGTAAGAATTCATTTCATTCATAACAGCTTAATTATTTGTTATCAATAAATAAGCAATTAATAATGTATTTAAACAAATAATTATATATAAATCGTAAGCGTTAATTTTTTACATAACGACAACATTTTTATAATTTTTTACTTAGTTTTGAATTATTTCATAATATTTTAAATAATGATAGCTGACAATATACTTACATTTTCTAGAAATTGGCAAGCACTTACGATATTTTCCATTTTTTGTCACGAATTAAGCAGCTATATAATTTTACATATAAAAATTTATGTAACACAATTTATAGAAATATATAAAAATATATAAAAATACTTTATCTATATAAAAATTGAAAGTAGAAGAAAGATCATTTTACTATTGATAGCTCGAAGTTTTCCTCGAGACTTACCATCGAAAATCTTATTGAACGTTCGCAATATTACCAGGTACGAATGTTCTACAATATGAATAACATTACAGACATGCATACACATTCTTTGAATAAGATATTAAGTTGACATAGTTAACTTAAGATAGAAGGGTAGGTAATAAACATAGCTGCGCTTTCTCCCTCTAACCGATTTAAGAGGATTTAAGAAAGTAAAATTTATGATAGACATAGTTAAATGAAGAGAAGAGGGTAGGTAGTATTCATAGCTACGTGCTCTCTCACTGATTTTAAGGGATACATGCAAGTATAGCTACCCTTTACAAAGAAACAGAGAGAGTGAGCGAAAGAGAGAGAGAAAGAGAGAGAGAGCATCTATTTCCTACCATAGTGCATCACCAAGCCAGAACTATAGACAGCACGAGCTCCTCTCTTCCGCGTGTCGCCAAGCCACGCTGAGCCGGAGCGAGTACGCGCGGGCCTGATGCGAAATGTGTACCTAACATACACAATAACGACTCTCCAATGTACATGTGACAGTTACTTTAGTGGTAGAGCATTGCCCTGCCAAACCAAAGCATACGGGTTCGATTCACCGACCTGTCCCTTAATATTTTTTAAATTAACCCGTTCTATACTTTTCTAATTTAACATTTTAATTTATTAATAATATTATGACTATTCAAATACGTTAAAATAAATTACCAAATAAAACAGAAAGCACTAGGGTCACTAGAGACTTTCTCTAACCATGTGGCATCCCCTTGCCCCGAACATACGTATGTTCTAAGCCAATTTCACCAAAGTGGAAGTAGCTCAGAACGTACGAAAGTACGTTTTTAGTTTAGGAGTCCGTAACCAGCTTTTTTCGTATAGAGCACGCTCAATGGGTAATGACTAGGATGTTATCGAGGGAGCACACACTATACTCCTCATCTAGCACGCACTATACTCCTTGAACGACATCACTAAGATGTAGATCAAGGAGTATACTGTGTGCTACTCTCGCTGACTAACCACGCGCTCACCAGTGAGAGAGACAGCTATAGAGTCTCTGGTATAGCTTTGCTATCTCTTTCTCTTTTACACTGCCGAGCACTCGCGAATAAGAGAGACGCTAGTCTCTGGTAGGTCTGCTATTTCCTTCTATCTTTCTCTTTGTCTCTCTTTGTCAGTGCGCGTGAGAGTGAAAAAGACAGAGTTGTAAGCTCTCGGCTAATATTTGCTTTCTCTTTCTTGCCGGCGAACGCGCTGGCCGGTGTAAACCAGCAAAAAAGATAGTCGTGCACGCACGTAAAATGGCAACACAATAACAAATGCCTACTCATCTCGTATATAAATATTTACGCGATAAAAAGCAGGTTACGGACTCTAAAACAGAAAAATTATGTACGTATTTGGGCGAACCTTACTTGATGTCGGCAAAGGATGTTGAAGGGAGAGGGGGAAGAAGAAGGGCCGCTACGCGGCCTCGATCGTTCTTCCCCTTCTCCCTTCAACATCCTTCGCCGACATCAAGTGAGGTTCGCCCAAGATACGTAAAATACTATTATTATAGTAATTTATTATAGGAATGTTATACTACTATGATGAAAATCTAATAAGAGATTTTCCAAAACTATAATTATTTGCTGTCTATTTTTGTAAGTCAAATAAAAAAATTTTGTTATTTTATTTACAAATTATTTCAATGTTAAATTTTAAAGCACCTTAAAAGAGAAGAATTTTAAAGAAAAAAAGAAAACGGGAAAAAAATTGCAATTTTATGAATTCGTACCTTATAGGCTTGTTAACATTTTTGAGCTCAACGTGCAAAGGCTTTCCGCTGTGTATGTGAAAAACAAAGAAAGCAAGATCAGAGAGCGCACACGAGGTAAGACAAGATGTTAGTCCTTCTTTTTTTTATATAAACCTTTTTTTACCTAAACTGTGTAACTTGCTTTTTTGGATAGAAATTCATAGAAAATTTCAGTTGCTACGCTGAACATAGTTGTTTTCAAACAATCAGAAAGCTCTCATTCTGCTTTCTTGCCGTTTTCTAAGAAACTAACAAAACTTAAGAAAAGTGAAATAGAAAATAAAAATATATGGCCAACCATTACATTATATTTATATATTCTAGAGAATATTATACACATATTATGCTTTTGACAAGCTCAGAACTAGTTCATTCTTGTATTAACTTTTACTATCATCGATTTCGTCGTCACTGTAATCGTCATCATGAGTGTGTGTTACGTTTTGTGGAGTAATTGGTCTCATATGAGGTACTCCATCATTTCTAATGGCATTAGTAGTACCTATCTGAAAAAGGAAAAAAACATATAATTTTTATTTTTATTAACGCAAATTATGTTACGATACATGCGATTTATATTCCGTATCTATAAAAATAGCAGTAGTGAATATGTCACAGTAGACAACACATTAAAATTTTCAATTTTATTTCGAAAATTAGCCCTGAGTTCTTATGTTATTTTAAAACATAAACCTTACAGTCCATTAAAGCTTAATATCGTGTATATTTTTATTACGTATAGAATTTCGGGTCTAAAAAAAATTTGATAAAATAGGCTCCAATGATTTTTTTCTTTCGAAATAATTTTGGTTGTAAAATAATTCAAATTAAATTGTGCAATTATAGGACACCCTTGCGAATTAAAAAAATTTCCGGTAGAGGGCCTAGTTCTTTTGTAGAAGTGTATTCGCCTTTACGTCTGATACTTTCGCTTCAATGTCTCCTTTTCCAACAGAGTTGAACTCATCTTAAGTCACCTGACTTGTGACACTCGATTTATCTTAGGTGTGAGTGACCTAATGCTTAATCCGACTAATCCCCTAGATAAAATAAGACTTAATCCGTGATAGATCTGTTAAACTATTAGGAAACGAAATGACGGCGAATATAATTAATAATGTTTAATTTAAATAAACTACAGTCTTTTTTGCGGGCCGAAAGACTAACGCTCGCGAATGGGATTTACAATGATTAATAATAATACGGGGAGAAACAGAGAATTTGAACTTTTGCCGCGAAAACTAACGGTCGGCGAGAAAACAAAAAATAACGCTCGCGATAGACAAAATACTTTCACTTGTATGTTCTCGCGCAATATAAGGAAGGTGCACCTACCCTACGGTGCAATTACAGTGATCAGATAGTTGAAAGGTGCTCCTCGAATCCAAATCAGCTGCGCTGCCTCGCAAGTAAATATCTGCTACTTCAGTTGCTGCTGCGATAAATGCTGCTGCTGTGATGTTTCTTCGCTACATTCGTACTCGACATTCGCTCTAGCATCGCGAGTGCTACCGAATTGTGAATGTATCGATTGATCGAATTGACTACTGTTGCAGCAGTAATAAAAAAGGAAAACTTAACGCCAATAACAACAGGCAAACCTACCTACTGGCCCTCAGATATAAATAAATTACCGGATATCATAGATTTCGCAATTATGAAAAGACTATGCCCTAAACAACTAACAGCTGGATCGTGTCTTGACCTAATCTCAAGTAATTCCCCAGTTATTATAAACCTCTACTCAACAATAAAAATAGACTAAAAAATAGCCTTATGTATAAAAAAACAAATTGGGATCTTTACTGAGTAATATTAAATGATAAAATTACATGTAACGTACCACTATAAACAGAACAAGATATAGATACCACGATTGAAAATTTAAATAATAACATCTATACAGCCATTAAAATGCAACCCCTACGTACTCGATAAAACAAAATAAAAAACAAATAAATTCCAAAGTAGTAACAGATAAAATAAGAGAAAAAAGAAAGCTGAGAAAAATTTGGCAACAGACTTATTATCAACGTATAAAACAAAATATAATAGGTCTATTAAAGAACTTAAAAAACTTCTTTGCGACGAAAAAAAAGGAGAATATAAACAATTATCATACTAACTTAACTGCAACTGAAGCTACTGATTATTCGCTCTGGAAAGCCACTAAAAAAATTAATCAACCACAAAAATTCTCTCCTCCTATATTAAAAAATGATATAACGTGGGCTAGAACAAGCATTGAAAAAGCTAACACATTTGCTAAACATCTAATAAATGTTTTCAATCCTTCACGACGTAGAATAGCAGAAGTAAAAGAACAAAATCTATTGAAAACGATGCAATACAATAACAATAAAAATCAACTAACTAACAATACTAAAGTAAAAGAAATAAACCACATAATACGTCATTTAAAAAATAAAAAGAGCCCCGGACATGATAATTATTATATTATAAGTATTACTGGCTATTAGGGAAAAAATCTAAACTTTCTGTTTAGTTTCAATGCTAATAAATAAGATGATAATTAAAAGTCTCATAAAATAACAAACAAAAGGGAATTCAAGATTAGGATGGGAAGGCGTGTGCAATTTATAATAGATACGCTGAGAATTAATATAACTAGTGATTGTAATTTATTCAAGAAAACAAAAAAATGAATGAGAATGCGTTATATTTAGCCAGCATAAAAAACATTGGCACAGTAAATGCAGGTAGAGAGAGAGCCATAAAATAACTATATGTATATATATATATATCAGTGGTCAATTGAGGCTCGTAGAGCCTATGACGCTTCGCACGCTTGAATGGCCATTCAGGTAAATTTCACACTTACTCGTCCTCGCAGGTGATTTAGAAGTAAGGTGTTGCCCCATACACACATACGGGCGCACCGCAGCCCCGACGTCTCGGGCATACACACGTACTGCGGTAACACCTAAGTTGCCGAGCTGGTGGGTAGAGTTGAATCCCGGGCAGCACCTCAGGGACGCGCGGACGTCACCAGCCAACGGAATTGGCCCTTACTATCGATGATGATCACACACTCAACCTCTTTAATGACAAAACCACACTCGATCACTCTCAGAACACACAGTTTTCGTCACTCGGTGATTACCCAACAACAGTTCAGGAGCAATTCGGCGTTCGCGCACACTCACACCTACAGAGTTGTAGAACTAAGAAGTGGCGGTGTCGTCCAAGCACCGTTAGTTGATGCAGGCGTGGCGCAGAACTTAGCGAGATACGAACCGGCGAGGATAAGCAGAGTTAACCGTGCTTAGTTGTTGAATGTTCAAACTGAACTCACTAACAATACTCGATTTGACATCGAGGGAACTGAGGGAAGCACGGAAAACTCTTCCCTACTCTCTGGGCCCATTCCCTGTGGGCGAATCAGAAACCAGCGATTTTATGGCGCGCGTCGGTCATCAAGCAATTTGGGTTTTCCCAGGCGTGCTGAGACCGAGAATTGCTCGGATTAAGCATATGTGTTTCGCTCTTATATTTTTGGAAAACATCATAAATAGCGGACAGCAATTGGAGCTGTTTAACAGACGAAAGACATATGCAACGCGGGTTGTTAAGGCGAACGGACAAAAGTGCTCGAAACCCTCTAATCGCACTCATTCCTAACAGACTTCATGCAGGCCGGCGCGGCATTCGTGATGATTTACGGACCATCGTTGGTTGTTTTATATTTTCTGCTCTCGAAGCATCTTTTTACACATGCACACACTCTCTCTTATCCTTGAAGCGCAAACGGCGCGAACACTTTCAATTAAAAATAAGCTTCTTATATATAAGTTAATAATTAAACCAGTTTAGACATACAGCATACACAGCTGTAAAATCAAGCATAGACATAATAGAAAGAAAAAAAAGAAATTTCAAAACAAAACTATAAGAGCCATTACTGATGCACTTTGGTTTGTCACCAACGATTACATAAGAAAAGACGTCAACATAAACACTGTAAGAGAAGAAATTGAAAGAGCTCGCCGAAAATACATCAACAAGATAAACGAACACTCAAATAAATGAGCAAAGAAGCTAATACACACAACACCGATATTTCGAAGATTCAAAAAATATAAAACAGTGTTTGTACAAAGTTAAACAAGCATGATATTAAAGTACTGGTACTAATCAGTGGGGAAGTAACTTCGTGTAATTAAAACAAACTTTTTGTAACCATTTAAAGTAATTGCAATTATAACATTTGCTTATTGCCCGATGACAGATTGTAAATACATATTGCAACGGTAGTCGATTCGATTAATCGATCCATTCACGATTCGGTACACTCGCGATGCTAGTACGAACGACGAAGAGAGAGAGAGAGCGCGCGAGAGTTTGAAAAGTTCAGTTAAGCCTCAGCTGTTACTTGTATAGTACCACCAATGATTTTGCACAATGTTTCGCCGTTTTTACAAAGTTTTCCTGGATTGTTTGATACGTGCGAGTGTAGCGAAGAAACATCACAGCAGCAGCATTTATCGCAGCAGCAACTGAAGCAGCAGATATTTGCTTGCGAGGCAGCGCAGCTGATTTGGATTCGAGGAGCACCTTTCAACTATCTGATCACCGTAATTGCACCGTAGGGTAGGTGCACCTTCCTTATATTGCGCGAGAACATACAAGTGAAAGTATTTTATCTATCGCGAGCGTTATTTTTTGTTTTCTCGCCGACCGTTAGTTTTCGCGGCAAAAGTTCAAATTCTCTGTCTCTCCCCGTATTATTATTAATCATTGTAAATCCCATTCGCGAGCGTTAGTCTTTCGGCCCGCAAAAAAGACTGTAGTTTATTTAAATTAAACATTATTAATTATATTCGCCGTCATTTCGTTTCCTAATAGTTTAACAGATCTATCACGGATTAAGTCTTATTTTATCTAGGGGATTAGTCGGATTAAGCATTAGGTCACTCACACCTAAGATAAATCGAGTGTCACAAGTCAAGTGACTTATAGTGAGTTCAATTCGGTTGGAAAGAAGACACTGAAACGAAAGTATCAAACGTAAAGGCGAATACAGGTATAACTATACGTGTTTAACGGAGCGGCGGTTAGCCCGGCATCGTAGTAGTTTGTTCGTCAATAAATTTCTATTTGTATTAGATAACCCACCCCGTTACAATATTTACATGTAAAAATATTGGTGGTGGGAGAATACTCAACTGCTTTGATTTTTGTCGTGCATATAAGACAATCATAATCAGCCGTGGGAGTATTTAAAACATAATGGGGGGAGTAACTGAAATAATAGCGATTAGTGCGGAGCAGAGACGTGGAAGTGTATTAATACGCGATCACGATCGTACTTGCGCTGTTTTTTCATTCAACATGCAAGGTACTTAAATCAGTCAATGGCAACGGAAAAGCCGCAAGCGATAGCAAGTTGTTGACAGTGGTAAGCTGCAACGGCTTATTTCATTAATATCATCGATTACACAGGTTTACAAAAAAAAAAAGAATGTCCGAATCTTATGTCAGACCA